AGCAACCAGAAAGAACTTCCTTGGAAGGGTTACTTAAACAAGAAATTAATACTGTTTGGGCCACTAGACATTCTGGGGCCTGTTTGTTACATCCATTTAACTTATCCTAACTATTAGCAGCAATGCAGCAGGCCTTGCATTATATTATTTTACACCTATTAGTTAAGTCAGCCTCTAGTTGCTACCCAACATCCCTGCCTGTGCTATCATCCCTGCAGAATCTGGCCTTCAATGCTTGGGGTATGATTATTTGGCCAAATTTGTACACCCTGGTCCTTGGGATGAACTCACATGCAAGGATATGCCTGATGTGTCCAAACATGTGGAGCTCAGGCTGAGCCTGGGGACTTCTGCTCAGTTATAGCTCCATCCATTTCACCTCCAGGGATTTTGTCACAACCTTGGTTCTTGGAAAACTCTTCACTATGAACCTTTTCATCAAGTTCCAATCCATTTTCCCCTTCATTTCCAATTTACATCCCAGCACCTTTGTTCTTACCCTTTGCAGCTGGCCCTCTGCCTCCTCAGGTAAATCAGTTACTATTCAGCTTCCCAGCTGCAAGAGAAGTGTTACTACTCCTCTCTCCTTAAGCCTCTGGAGGAGAGGCCACACAACGTAGGCCCAAATCTTCATGTCTGTCTTTAAGCTACAGACTCCCCACTTTTCATACCCTTCATCATCCTCCTGCTCAGAGCCAATATCCACACATCACACTCTTCAGAATCAAGTTCCTTGTACACTAAAGAAACGTACGCATTATATCTATTTGTGCACTATAACATCTGGGTAACACAGAGTGTAAGGTAATGCATTTCTGGAAAAAATCACATGGTGGCTTTTGGACATGTGGTGGTAATTAATGACAAATCCCTCCTTTTGAGCAGATGAAAGAGCATTGATGAACTGCAGGAGATGGTCCATTATGCAGAGAAAGTATATTCTGCTCCATTTTCTAATGTATTTTCTTGAAAATTATCACTGTGGCGGCACAATCAATTTTCATGAGTAGGATCCTTATTCCTCATGATTCCATCTTCTATGGGTCAGACCTGGAAATACTTCCTTCATTGACGCCTCTCCATTTCACCTAATTCATTTCAACCCCTAGTCTCCTGGCTTATTAATCTATTTTTTAATGTCTCTTAATCATTTCTCTCTGTTCCGGCCCTCTTGCAGCAGTCTATTGATGTCTTATTGAGGATTGCAATCAACCATTCTTCTTTCTTTTATATAATTACAACTGTCTTTTCAGGTTTCAGCCAACTTTCAGATTCCCTTATTTATTGTTTTCTCTTCCCATTTTTTTACGAAAATGGCTTAGATTAGATCCTCTAATTTCGAGGACACAGCTCAGTGTACAATTCCACTGTGATTTAACAGATTTAACCTCAGTGGTGTGGAAAACTTAGAAAACCATTCGATTTTAAGATGAGATTCAGAAGACAGAGCAGACAGAGACGACTTTGACCAAGTATGTACACATGTGTGCATAGAGACACACTCACAACTACCCCCTCTCCCCGCATAGGTACAAATCCAGCTTCCTTTGTCTGTCTGCCTTTGATAGACAACGTTCTAGCAATGGCATCACCTGAAAACTTTTACAAACACGGAAGCTCAGCCCCTGCTCCAGACAAATCTGCCTTTAAAAAGATATCTGACATAGGATGAAGTCATTTATTGCCTTGATACCTCTATTTCTCTATCCCTAAAATGGGGATACTTGTGATACCTTCATAGTAGGATTGTTTGGGGGACTAAACGTTGTCCCACATGGTAAACATTTGGACTATCCAGCACATAGCAAGCATTATTATTCAAATTTATACTCTTTATACATTTGTCTAAATCCATCTGAAAGAAGTAAGTGGTATATAAGTATTAAGTCCCATGTTTGATTGTAGAATATCAACAAAGAACCTCACCAATCCCTCAGGAAAAGACACCTGAGCTACTCACATGCACAGCAAACATCTGAGGCCTTGCTCTGGCCGATCACCACCCTACGGTTGTGGCCTAACCCTCATGGCTTCCTTGGCTAGACCTGAGAACACAGCAAAATACGGGAGAAAGAAAACGGGAGGGACGGAGGACACCCCAAACAGAAAAGCATCCTAACAACATTTCCTAAGTGCCTTCTACAAGAGGCAGGCCAATGCTAGGGCATTCTGTTAAGCCTCTTCACCTTCACCTGTTAAGCCGGCATCACCCGTGAAGGTGGATACAGCAGGCGCGCCAGGGACATCAGCTAACGTAGGACGGGCAGGGTCAGTGAAGGGACAGGCTGGGGTGTGACAGTACAGCCCCACTTAGGATCTCTACGTCTATGGGCTGTCACCCTGAGTTCCCAGGCCCTTTCCCAGACGCCTTGGGGTATGTCAGAAAACATCCCCCAGGCTAGGGGTTCTTTTGGTTCTGGTTCTGTCTGGCTCTTCTGGACTAAAGTCACACTAGGTTTGGGAAAGACTCATAAGAGCTGTCTCCTAACTCAGGCGCTGAGTTCAAAGGAAATGAGAACAAAGTGCGGTGACATCTGGAACTCACGTTACATATGTTTATATATTACGTATGAAATGTGATGTACATATAGTATGAATATAGCCAAGGCTGTTCTTCAGACAAATGCACTTACTTCTGGTGTTACAAGTTTTAATCCTTTTTGGCTCATGTACATCTTTTAGGGCTGATGGAGGTAGTAAAAACCCTTCCCTCAAAGACACACGGACACAGACAGACAGACAGACACATACCCACACACAATTTAAAGGTATAAATGGATGCTCTAAAATTCATCGTGGTACCCTAGGGACCAAGGACTGAAAATGTAATGATACTAATAACGACTCTTCTCCATTTCTTACTTTCCTACTAATATCAGTATTATTATTACCTGATGTGCCTTAGCTTTGGCATCGGCATTTTTAGAATGTAGTGACGCAGAGTTATTTCATGCCTTTCTTGAGATCTTGGCATTCACCCGAGGAAATATTACAACATTTCTAATGGAAGAGTAAGGCAAACATGTCGTATCTTAAGAGATTGGATTGAGTGTCCAATGACAACTGCCAAAGGGAAAGTTCACGTCCAGAGCACAGAGGGTACCACACCGTCACGCGGGCCATTTGGGGCTGGCTCGATGCCTAAGTCATTGTGACAAAGTGAGACTTGAACAACTGCCTACTATTCTTGCATGCTCCCTAATATTATTAAGGACTGTGACTGAATGAATTTTTTAAAATGTCCTTGAATTTAATTTTAGTTTATAATTCTGGCATTGTTGACAGGTTTTTAAACATATTCTGTTATCCCATTGAAAACAACAAACATTTTTTTAAGAAATCTTTTGTGACATTACTTAGGCAAGGTGGACTTGACACTGTATTTTTACATGTAATAGTAATCTTTGTGTCACATACTCTGTGTCTGTACCTGGAGCATGGGAAAATAATCGAACTTAAGGTAAAAGATGAATGTGATTTAGAGAGAAACGACGTGGAGGCTTTACGTTCACAGAACCATTCTGTCGCTGTGTTGGCATTCAGGTCCTTATATGTAGCGTTCTCTGGCTGTGTTATCAGTTTTCATGAAAATTCTATTTTTTTCTGCTATAAATATTATCAAAAAAGCAATTAGGAAGAGAGGAGAATAAAAAATGTTAAAAGTTTTCAAGAATATGTTTTGTTTTATGCACTTTAAACAAGACTTTCGCATATGGAAAATATGGACATAAAGAGGCATCAAAACAAAAAACTTTTTCCTCCCTTCCCCTACTCTCAGTTCTGAAACCAAAGTACCCTTTAAAATATGTTAATATTTCTTTTCTTCTTACTGCCGAATAGCAGTCCATTGAGCGGATACGGTATATTGTATTTATCCACTCACCAGGTGACTGTTCTACATTTTGAGCATCACAAATAAAGAAGCTACAAATGCTCATGCATAAGACTGTGTGGCCATCCATGTTTCCATTTCACTTGCAGGTATACCTAGAAGTGGAAGTGCTGGGTCATGTGGTAACTCTGTATTTAATATGCTGAGGAACACCAGACCGTTTGGTCTGTACAAGTGGATGCACGTTTTACATTCCCACTAGGAGTCTGTGGGAATACCGGCAAACTCTGCACACTCTGTAATGCTTCTCATTCTCTATCCATTTACTGATGGCCATGCCAGTGATTATGATGTGGTATCTCACTATGGTTTTAATTTGCATTTCTCTGAAGATTAATAATGTCGGATATCTTTTCATGTGCTTATTGGCCATGTGTGTATCTTCCTTGGAAAAGGATCTATTTAGATCCTTTAGTCATTTTTAATTGCATTGACTTTGTATTATTGAGTTGTAAAGGTTCTTTATATATCCTGGAGACTAGTCTCCTTGAATAAATGGTTTGCAAGTATTTTCTCCCATTTTTGGGGTTGAGGTAGAATATATCAACCCAGGTTAGTTAGAACCTGTGTTCGTGTAGGCCAGAAATTTTTTGTGATGTTGTAATAAAAATGCATAAAATTATAAATATGTATTGTACTGTTAAGATAGGAGGTTGGAATAAGAAATTTAGAAGCACAATTATCATAATTATCATTCACATCTATGTGTACATGACCTGTGTTATACTGTCTTCTACAGAATTTGGGAGGAAAATTATTTTTGTTTAATGAATACTATTTATTAATATTAATTATCCAACAATTCCAAGACATACACTCAATTTACTTCCCAGTTTACTTCGAACTGCCTACCTTCCAATTTTTTAGACATGTGTAAAAGTAAAACTAAAAATGAGCCTTTCCTCTCTGCAAAGGACCAGCCAAGTAACTTTGCAGCTCATGCCCGCATTAAAAGTTGCTCAAAACACTCCTGAAGCAGCCACCTCTGAAATGCAAACACCCAAACAGGGCGCCCTGGAAAAGAGAGTCCTCGATCCCATGAGTAGAACATGTCTCGAGTTAGCTTTTGAAGGAGAGTCATTCTTCACCTTCACTACTGCGAACTCACCTGGTCACACAGGAGGCTACCGTTTCTAGTGCCGGCTTTGTCACAATCACAGGGTCTGCACACATCTATGGCTGAAGGATCTGCCCCAACCGGTCGGAAAAAGTAATCCTTACACAGCTCGCAGCTCCTTCCTGCGCCAGGGAAAGGTTATGCATTATGGCTTCCAATTCATTAACATCAGCTGCATAATTCAAAATTAAAGACTGTATTCCTTGGAGGGAATTCTATAATTTTCGGGACGTCCATTTTAATGCACCTTTCATCTCTACCTGCCAATTTGGTGATCCAGAGCATATGAAACAATGAACCTGCTGCAAACCGCGCTTTACTTCATTACACTCCCATCTGCCACACAACGCCACGCTTCTAAGAACTGGGCTTCGTAGGGGCCCACGCATTCCACACGAGTTTCTTTCTGAACTGAAAACTTTTCTTTATTTTCAGGGCCAGGCACTTAAGTCTAAATCAAATATGAGAAATTTCTGTATGTGTGGTAGATGACGGTTGCCCAATTAGAAGGAACTATGTAGGTAGTATTAGAAGTATTTTTCCAGAACTAAATCTTGTAAAATAGGAGACCACTCTTAATACAATTTTTACTCTCCAGTTAACAACACAGAGAGAAGCAAATGCCTCTGTGAGTGTTTATGGCCATTATTTTTCATTGCAAATATCAACAGAAATTTATTATATTTGGATGTAGCAAATAAATTTCATACTGAATATTGGGATAGTCTGGAATATTAGAAATATCAGGTAATATCATGTATAGCTTACAATTTAATAATCAGAAATATTAAGGGAACATTTCTGATTACTATATATAGGTTATATACCTAATCCATAGGCAGTTTCTAAAGTAAACATTAGTATATAAGACCACTGAAATATAACTCCAGGCAACCAATTTCCCCTTTAAACATGCATTCTGCTCAAATATTGCTCAAGTTGGCCCAATATTAGAAAACGATGGAAATAATCAAGTGAAAATTCACATTCCAGTGGATATGGGCTATGGACTGATTAAAAATTAAAAGGATTTATACCATTTCTAGAATATTTCCACTTACAGTGATGACTCTTAAATGTGTATGTCCAATCTAGAAATATCTCCTTTATTTGACAGTCAATGAATACTTCTTGGGCAATAACTGTATCCCAAGTGCCATGCGACAGGCTGACCAGAGCAGCAGTGTAGCACAGGTTAGTTAGAATCTGTGTGTGTGCAGGTCAAAAATTAACTTTCGGCATGTTGTCATGAAAATGCATAAGATCAGAAAAAGTCCATTGTACTGTTAAGATAGAAGGTTGGGATAAAAAATATAGAAGCACAACTATAATTATCATTTGGGTCAATGTGTACATGATCCATTGGGTAAGATGAATGTTAATTAGATAGTAACAGGAATAAATATACATTAACCTGCTATGACAAACATAAGGTGCCACTACAGCATACTGATGATACTGATCTTTTCGGAGGCGTCACAAACTTTCCTTAAGGAAGGAGTTTCCAAACTGTGCCCCGCAGCCCACGGCAGAATTTCTCCCGGAACCAGGCAGTGAATGTGTCTAAAACAGAACCTGCCGCCTTCCCCCTCAGCTTGATCCACCTGTGTTTCCTGTCTCAATGGCTGATCCTGAGGGTTGATGACCCTGGATGACCCTGGTTGACCCTGGTGCGCAAACTGGAATGTCAGGCAAGAGTCTTGGCCCTTCTTCCTTCCTCCGCCCTTGACGGGAGAGCTGTCACTTTCCATCCCGCCTCTCCTTCTGCACGACCTTACATCCCCTCCAGCGTCACTCTTTACCTGGACAATGGCCGCATCCCGCTACCTGGTCTTCCCTAACCCAATCCATTCCCCATTGTATGACCCGATGGATCTTTGAAAAACACAAGGCTTATTGTGTTTCTTGGTAAATCCCTTAGGACAGAAGCCAAGCTCTTTATCACCGTTCACCAAGCCCTCAAAAATGTGGCCCCTGCCTGCCTTCCTAGCGCCTTTTCTGACAGCCAGCCTTCTGCTCTTCCATCAGATCTTCACGGGTTTCCACGCTTCTCTCTCCTCCAGGGCTCCACACCGACCGTTTCTCTTGCTGGGCACCTTTGCGCACCCCCGGAGCTCCCCTGCCTCTCAGGCCGCACCTGCGTAACCCCAGCTGCACATGCCGCACCTCGGCGCTCGCCAGGCGGTTCTGCCACTGTTCCGCCCGTGGTGAGCCTTCTCCGCTTTGTGATGCACACGAAGACCGGGATCTGCCTCATTTGTTAATCTTTATATTTCCAGCACCTCGTCAGGTTCTTGCGTGACATTTTAGGTCACCAGTAATTACCGAATAAATTCATTCCGGCTTCAGCGTAGCACACTTTCAAACCCATAGGACTTGGGCCATTATACTGGGCAAGGTCAAAGATTGCCTACTTCTGCTTTTTAACATACCAGCTCTTCCAAGTGCTGACTGGTTTTAGAACAAGATTTGATAATCATCTCTTCATTTAATTAGCATTTACAAAGGAGTATTCCCAGATTACCAGGGTCCATGCCAAATCTAAACGAATGTGAACATCTATGCACAAGAATTCACGTGGTGGAAGATCAGGGTTGCACAAGAAACTTATTTTAAAGAGATATACGCATATATTTTCAAACCAATAATTTCCTGAGCTATCCAAAATATATTCATAGTTTATCCAAATGCTGTGAAAAAGAAACTTTTCCTGAAAGGATAGAGTCAACAGCTAGATTGCTATTTCTGAAAACTGCCTAATTATCTGTGATAATGAAGATTTGATAAACCAGCTTTGGTTTTCAAACATAACAGTATGAAAGCACTTTCTTAAACCAGATAGCAGTAACATTAATTTAAAATAACACGCATCATGCGCCAAAGCACATGGGCCTCAAAAGCCAACTCAGCCTTCGTTTCGACTGCTGTCTGCGGGTTCCTTGTGAACTCAGCCTTTGTTTCGATCAATCGTTATCTGCTGGTTACCTGTGAACCCCGCCTCTGTTTCAATTGCTTACCTGTGGTGTTGTGTTCACAGTCATCACAGACTCCTCCCCCACCTCTGTGGTGCTCGGCTGGGAATGGATCCACTAAGCGGTCGTAGTGGCACTTTCTGGAGTGGCTGTTGCACTGACAAGGTTTACAGTTGAAAGCGTGAACTCGATCTCCAGGGCGGAAAGGCTTGTCATTGTAGAGAGGCAAGCAACGATCACACTAGAACAATAAAGGAACATCAGAACAGTAAGTAAAAGAAAGCTGTGAGCTGGAATTATTGTTTTTAATTCACATACCAGGCCAGAAAACTAATAACAACGAGTTAAAAGCCAGCACGTTATATTTTGGAGAGTGCTGCATGAGTCAGAAATCAGCATGCATAAGGCGTGGAAGTGACATGTGACATGTGACCTGAGATCATGCAAATCGATCTTCATAACCAGTGTGAAAAGTTGTGATTGTTTCATGAATTTCACATTTTTTGTCAAAACATTAAAAACTTGACTTCCAGTTTCTGATCCCACAGGTGAAAAGCTTAGACACTGTCAGTCCACCCTAACAAGTAAAACGCTAGACAAACTGAAATATCAACAACTGTTCTTGGATTTCCCTTAGGGAAGGACACAGAACAGAGGATAGAAATCATATTAAATGCTCAACTAAAACCACAAAAACCAAACAGCTGCTGCCAAGACTGGGGCGACAGATGGGCCAGCGCAGGCCGCGCCGGCCGCAGGCGCAGAGGCTCACGCGCAGAAGGCTTCGCGGAGAAACAGCGCTGGGACAGAACCCCCGAAATGCAGCTGACAACCTGCTGGAGGTCTGGTGCAGACAAGTCAGAGCTGGACACTCCCAGCTGAAGCCTGAGAGGGCACGGTGGGGACGGGGGCTGCGTGAGCTTCGCTGTGTCCGGAGCAGAGAGGATACGGGGCCGGAGACAGGGTCAGAAAGCAGGGGGTGGGAGCGCCGTTGAAGCCTGACAAAGGCAGGGGCCGGAAGCACCAACGCAAAAATGCACGTGTTCTTTGGACGCCATGTGAGCCCTTCACGTGTGTGAATTTAAGTAACTGCAATCGGAAACGAGGATTTTCTGCCTGTGATTGAGAAACTGCAGCTGGGAATGCGAAACAGTGTTTTCCTCTTGTAGTTAGTTGAAGAATAAAGTCTGAAATGAGCTCTTAAATATTTTAGATCACAGGCACAAAGCAAACAATGCTGTCTTCACAGAAATATCCAAGGAAAAGGCTGGATTTGCTCCACCAACTCAGGCAGGCAACCTCCCAAACCCAAACAGCCACACTTGCTTCATAGAAGACAAACTGCATCTGTAATCGGTGTGACAAGGACCCCAGTTTCCATGTCCTCACTTCTACTGACTTTTATGCAAGAAAACGTAACTGGAATAATAAAAGCACCATTGTAGTGTACGCAAAGTCGTTGATAAAAACACTTTGAAATGAAGTAAAAAGAAAATAGGCTTCAGGCACTATCTCGTAGCAAAATTGTGCGTTTGGCCCAAGTTTTGCAATGAGAAAGAGTTTTTCAAAATTGAGGATGAGATTAAGCATGGCTAATTGACCCGGGGAAGAGAATTTAACGAGCTCATTTCTCTCCTCCAAAGCCAGGAAGTCAGAGAGTGAGTTTTCAGCTCTTCCTCCATTTGTCCCACTGGAACCCGTGTCCCCCATTCGCTGGGCTACCAGTGATAGTTACACCTCAATGCTCTCTGATGGCTCCTAGAAGTATTAGATAAGGCCGCCTCTGAACCTGTGGCTACAGATGACGAAATGAACCAGAAATGGGTCTGGGTCATATATTGCTCCTTGCTCCGCGTTATAGACTATATCCTCTACATCGCAGCATGGACCCATACATTTATGATTACAGAATCTGCCATTCATGGTTATGAATCATATAACGCATGGAAACAGTCTGAGATATCACTTGGTGTCACCTGAGCTGAAGACCAACACTTCTGTTGGATTTTTACCCCTTCCTTTCTCTTCCATCCCCTGTTCCCCCTCCAGGAACTTCCAGACTTTGAATGTATACCATGTGCCAGGCTCTATGTTGGGAATTATTTAAATGTTATCACTTATCTTCAGGTCATTTTGAGTCAATAATAATTCAGATATTGAGTTGTTTTCCTTTTAGAGATGAAAAACTGAGTTTCACAGGGTAAAGTGGACTCAAGGACTTACTGTTCAATGTTGCTGTTCATATTACTTATCCTCTTTATTCCCCAGTTTCTAATCTCACTACGTGGTTGTAGACAATGTTTACTGAGGGCTTACTATGTGACAGACACTCTGCTAAGTATTTTGTCTTTATAACAACCATGAGTCAGGTATGATTACCCCCATGGTATAGATGAGAAAAATAAGGCTTAATGAGGTAGAATTAATTATACAAGAACACAGGGATAGTGTATCAAGGAAGAAAAATTAGTTATGGGATACTATACGACCGAGAGCCTAGCAGGTGTGTCCAAACTTTTGGCATCTCTGGTCCACACTGGAAGAAGGAGAGTGTCTTGGGCCATACATTTAAATACACAAACACTAATGAAAACAGAAAAATCTCTTAATATTTTGAATAATTTTACAGTTTTGTGTTGGGCCAAATCCATAGCCATCCTGGGCCGCATGTAGCCTGCAGGCCACAGGCCGAACACCCCTGGCCTAGGGGATTCAATAAAATATCCCATTTTAAATGCTTACTACAGTGCCCAGCATATATGAAGTAAACATTTCATGTTCCTTTCCACAGTTGGTAGCAGTACCAGTAATTGAACGAAGAAATCTGGCTTCAAGCCTCTGCCTAATGCTAACTTTTGATTCTATAAAATAAATGACTTCCAAATGACTGCTAGTGAGAGAAAACTTTAAGAGGTCAATTACCTACCTTAAAAATCCTTTTGGGTAAGACCCATATTTGATAATCTTCTAATGATTGCTACATCTTCCTTTATGAAAATGAGTTTCATTTTATATTTGGAAGTGCCCTATGAAAATCATCTAATTACAGTTAATTCTGAACTCTTGACATAAACATTACCCTGTTTATTAATTGTTCCCTTTGTGTCCCCTCTCTAAATTTCCTCAAGAACGATTTCTTAGAATATTAATATCATTGCATGTGAATTTTCAGTTAATGGCTTAGCAGTTGTCTGTTAAGCTCCTACTGTATGAATGGCACACAAAGTGTAAAAGCCAACAACTTGCATTTCCTGGAAGATACATGTAAGTAAATTAGTTATTTCAGTTCAAAATGACAGGAGCAAGGCCTACATACTAATAGGGTGCTATGGGAAAAGGGAAGAGGGGTAGCTATCCCAGCCCCGAAAGTTGATGGATTGTGTGTTTCTGGAAATCTAGCCATTTCTTCTACGTTATTCTGGTTTGTTGACATAATACTGTGCCCAACGGTCTTGTATAATCCTTTTTATTTCTGTGGCATCAGTTATAATGTCTCCTCTCCCAATTCGAATTACATTTATTTGAATTGTCTCTATTTTTCTTAGTCTAGCTAAAGTTTTATCAATTTTAAGGAATTAATACCAATCCTTCTCAAACTCATCCAAATTGAAAGGCAGTGAACATTTCCAAATTCATTCTATGAGGCCAGCATTAATACGATACTAAAACCAGGCAAAGACACCATAGGAAAGATTTTTTATGACAGTGAAGAAAAGGGTACAAATGCCCCTAAGGGAATGGTTTGAAGATGGCACATTTTCAGAGAAATAGAATACAAGCATATGTAAATATAAGTGTAGACAGATATCTATAATATAGTTTGAATTTAAAAATCAAGTTAAAAATTATATGTAGGGTATGATCTTATTTTCCAGATAAAGGTAGATTCATCTATGGATACAGATATAGAGCTACAACTTTAAAAAGACAGAGACAGATAATATCAATTTACTTAGAATAACAATAATAAAACATCTGAAGGCATAGAACCTAAAGAGTATTTGTTAAGATTATCTATGGGTGGTAGAGTTAGAGATGACTTTTACTTTTCATAACTTCATGTTTTCTATAGCGTGCATTTATTACTGTTGTATTAAAATGGAGGGCATATAAAATGGTACTGCCTACGTAGTTATAAGAAAACAATGCATCATTTGGATGTAACATCTCACTGAGAAAACTAAGAAAATTAAAGTGTTTTAAGTTATATACACAGATCAGTAAGCTACTGCAGAGAAAATAATGCTCTTTTTGATTACAATGTAGGCTGAGGGTTTATGAATTACCAATAAACAGAGTATGATTTTTAAAAGATAAAAAATAATCAGATTAATATATAGAAGCAAGGATTTTGAGAGATGACAGACTAAATTTCTGTTATAAAATTTGACTTAAAACATACAGAACTAAATGACACGGTGACGTATTTTGGCTTTTGATCGTAAGAATGATGCTATAATATTATTATCTTGTGTAGTTTACAAAGAGTATAAAAGAGAAGGAATACTTTGGAGTCTATCCTTTGATTACAAAATTAATGAAACTTCTCATAATATTCTCCAGGTCCCTCCAAGGTGTCACAAATAAAATACGTCAGTCAGAGAAAAACAAGTATCATATGATTTCACTTATATGTGGAATCTAATGAACAAAATAAACTACCAAACAAAATACAAACTGACTCACAGATACAGAGATCAGACTGACAGCTATCAGACAACAATTTAGTGATGACCAGAGGGAAAGAGGGGTGGGGGGAAGCAGAAGAGGGGAGAGGGGGGATGAATGGTGACGGAAGGAGACTTGACTTGGGGTGGTGAACATACAATACAATATACAGATGATGTGTTATAGAACTATACATCTGAAACCTACATAATTTTATTAACCAATGTCACCCCAATAAATTCAATAGAAAAAAATTTAAAAAGAGGTCTCATTCACCTGACTACAGAAGAAAGATAATTTATGACTGTTGCTCCAAGAAAAATTAATGAAACTTATATTTTGGTCTTATGTTTCTTTACAACCCCTTTTATATAATACAAGTGGTGCCACAGAAAAATGGAGGAACTATGAGTAAACTTTGAGTAAATTATGATTTTTAAATTTTAGACACTAGGAGTCAATTTTTGATTTCTCACACTTTTTACTCTGATTTTTAAAGTTTAAAATCTAGGAATATGTGTACCTTATATTTTATGCCACTTGTGAACCAGATGGTTCCCTAGTTAATGTTCT